GGGTGGAGGAAAAAGGAACGATGAATAGGTGAAGTGAGAAAAACAGATTTTCTAAATAGGATTTGTCATTGGATTTTGAGAGGAAATTGGTATTGAGGTCACCGGAGATAATTATTCTGGGATAGAGGGGAACGAAGTTGAATAGAGTTGATTCGAAGGACGGGTCAAATGGCACGAGAGGAGGGCGATATACCACGACGTAAAGGATAGGAGAAATATTACTGAGAATTTCTACTAAGAGATATTCTACATGAGGATGATCGGAAGATGGGGAGCAATCGAGGATTCGGGTCTTTAGGCTATTGTGGACAAACATGGCTACTCCACCGCCAGTCCGGTTTACCCGGTCATGACGGAGCAGGATGTAATTCGGCAAGGATACTGAAGATGATGGAATATAAGGTTTAAGCATTATATTAAATATTTATATTAAACATATATATATTAAACATGGAATTTGGAAATTGATACATTTTATGGTTAGTATCGATTTTTTTCAGATTATTGAGCACAATTACGATGAATGGCAATATTAATGAAGCTACGAATTAAAAGTTAGACATTGGAAATAAACGATCTATCATTTTAGATAAAATCTGACCCCAACTGAAAAGAACACGTTCGTAGTTTGCTTATCTCTTGAGCGAGCGTAGCAGTAACATAGTTATGACTTTTATTACCACTGAAAATTAGCTGACCAATAACTAAATTAAATAAAAAATTAGTTTGCCGAAACAACTCGTTTGTTGCAGCAATTCGAATACGATGTTGTTTTCTGAATGGACTATCTGTAGGTGATTGAAGATCGTTGGAAATGATAACTCTAGAAGAAGTACGGTTCTGGACGAAAATCGTCATTCATTGACAGAGATCTGCTGGACTGTGTTGGGAGCTCAGTACTTACCATAAGTACTGCAGAATCGAGGAAGGTTGTAATTTCCCTGACCTCCTTGATGAATCGTGTTTTGAGGAAAGTGAATCGCGTTGGATTTTTTTTTTCTTTTTGAGAAAGTTACAGAAATTATGATCAGACTGCATCCATCTGCTTACTTTCTGTGCTCCAATCGCCAAACGAAAGCTATTTAAAAAGAAGATAATGCTCTGTATTTGATTTTATATGTCATTTCAGAATTTCGAAAACCATTGATTCAGAACTTAATAGTGATCAGCTACATAGTGTGACTAATAGCTATCCAGTGAACATAAATACCGTATTTAGCACCTCCATCAACATTACCATCTGTTTCGGTCAATGCCTCACTACTCATGCCTCAATCCTCTGGATGAGTTTCAAAATGGATTTGAAGAAATTCCTTTCGTTCAAAACCCAAAGAGGTATTGTGAAGAAACTCTACTGCCAGCCTCGACATGACAACTAACCACAAAAAATATTATATATTTTTAATATTAAATTAAGATTATTTTTATATTAGTAAGAAAATAGTAATTTATTATTCCTTTTACTGGTAATTATAATAATCTGAATCTTAAGAACTTGAAGGATTGAGGCTACAATTTATATATCTACACTTATTTTCACCCAAAACTATCAAAGTCCAATTTGAAGTCAAACCTAACACTATTTTTCCATCTAAGTTTCAATCAATCCCTAGTGCGGTTATTCGTCTGCTAAATTCTATATTGGATTCATTTTTCTTTATAACAAATATTCTAACATATACGTTATTTGCTAAAACCTCATGTTCCTTGAACGTAAGTGGCCTTGTTTCGCATCTATAAAGAACAGCTATTATAACTTATAACGTGGCTATGAAGAAACTCAGACGTGTCTCCGGCATCACGGAAATCCACAAAGATGTGGTGGGTTTGGATATTATACTGCTCTCTCCATCCATCATCTTAAAGCCTGCTTGATATTGGTCTACCCTATTTTCAAGGGAAGAACTCTGTAGTTCTCACAGTTAAGAAGATCCTTTTCATATGAATGAAACATAAAATAGTTTTGTACTAGTCTTCAGGAGTGCACTCCTCTATCCAGATTTCTAAAGTCTGATTATATGAAAATAATTAGCTTCTCCTCTGTGCTTCCAAAGTTCAGCCGGTATTCCATCCAATCAAGATGCTTTATTCTTCAGAGAACTTTTTTTTTCGGTGGCCTTACCTAAAGAGAGAGGAGGGAGTTGTTATAAAGATACAATCAACCCTATTTTAACAAGATTGAGAAGGTCGAGATAAATAAATTTTAACCCGCCTAGGCCGGATAAGAACCGGCGTCGTTGACATTCTCGAGGATGTTCAAGTTGCTCAGCCGATCTATTGCGTCCCTAATGTATTCCCTACGTCATTCATCTGGAGGTTCCAATTTTCCACCACTAATATTCGTTTGTGACGTGTTTTCTCCAACGTCCAATAGAATTTGGTGGTGGGGGTTTGAGAATCTAGGAAGACTGTTAATCAACGGCCGTTGGTAAAACTTTTTGATTTCTTTCTGGCTCCGAAACATCTCTATTTCGTTTAACGATTTTATAAGATTTAAGTTAGATTAATTTGTTACGATATTGATTAGTAGATTATTTATTTGAAACCTACGATCAGTTATTGAAAATGCCATAAGTGACTTGTATAGATTTGACTGTTGTTTCCTCGTTATTTTATGCCATCATTACTGAAAAATCAAATCAAAGAGTGTGACAAATAACACGACTCAGTTTGTTTTCCTGACTTGATTGATCACACCGATGAAGTGACGATCCAAGACGATTGGAAAGATGGTTAGCGTCCTTCCTAGGCCGAAAGGATGACACCCTTCTATCGACTGTCGCGATTGTTTCTAGCTCTAATACACTATCTGGACAGCTATTGACCTCTTTTAGTTTCATTGGATATTGGAAGATTTGGTATCGTGTTGTTTCGTTAGGTCTTCTTGGTTGTTGAAAGAAACACATTAGCGGTAGGCTTCACAAAAAAGGTTTAAGAACATTGTCTCTTTTATTTAAAAATTGTGCAAGTGAAAGTGCAATCAGAAAAATTGTATAATTACACTTGCCTGTGATCTGTTTCATGTTTTGACAAGCTCCTAATGAGATAATGTGATAATCTATATAATATATAGATTAGATATAATTGGGTTAATAATAATAAATAATAGCACTTAAAAATATAGTTAGGAAATAATATATTTCCCTCTGAAAATTCATAACTCCATCAAAATGTGCCCCCCCCTCAAAAATTCAAAACCCCATAAAAGTGTCCTTCCTCCTGGGTTTGGGACCCCTGCTGTAAACAGTAACTAAGAAATCTTCATTTACGTGATTTTGGAATGCCAGTAGAGCAGCACTATTTACATATCGACGGAAATATTAAATCTAAAAATGTTAAATCCTTGAAGTTATTTTTTATTGCTAATAGGGCTGTACCTCTGAGGTAAAGGACACAATGTCCATTTTATTTATTAAATAATTTAGTTATCCGGAAACAAACTATAATAACTCAAAGTTGTGGAACATTGTTTCCCTTGAACAGGTACAAACATGGGAATGGTGTCCTTTACTTCCGAGGATATAAACGTCTTTTTATTTTATGTCATCCAAGATATTTTAGTTATTTATATATATATATATATATATATATATATATATATATAAATTGTTAAAGAGGTTTTGCTTTAGTTTTTATTTGGTTTATTTACGTTCATTTTTATATTAGATTTACTATTTACGTTCATGTTATATTAGATTAATTTATATTTTAAGGTCGAAAAGGGTTTAGCTGAGGTTCAATGCATTTGCTCATTGTAACTGCGAAATGTAGTAGTTGTTTTAACAGTACTTTCCCAGCCCAAATTCATTGGTATATGAATTGGTAACTATTATTCATCTTTAGTTATGGGCGAGATCAGCTAAAAAACGTGATATTTCTTAGTCTGTGTCACTCTCTGTGTCAAATTTAAAATTGTCTTGTTCCTTTATCTTGGTCAAGCACTGTAGACAGCCACTTATCCGATGAAGCCGTTCGATTTCAGGATACAATCCAAATGATCAACAATGTTCCACCGAGGGTAGCGAAACAAGTGAAAAGTTAGTTCGCTCCGTTGCCGTAAGAAGCGTTTTTGAGCTTCATTGATTGTTATATTGCTGAGCGTTTCTACATTATAGAACCAAACCAATCAAAATTAGTTTGTGTCAAATAAAATTTAAAAAATAAACTTTGATATCTTTTAAAACCTTGTAATTTAATGGTCATCAGTGTTCCTTACATGGTCATTTGAACGAGGATGGTGGATTAATTACCAGCATTATGAAATATTCTTGCTGTATCTAAAAACAGCGTTATTATTTAGTTTTAATCTATATTTTGTATTGAATTTCAACGTATAGTTTTATCAAATTAGAGGTGTAATGAAGTTTTCAGAGGTAAATTAAAACATGTTTTCGTTGAATACGTCCTTATTTCAACCCACAATGATACATAGATTTGCACTTCAGGTTAAAATATATACACATAGGTTGCGCTAGGGTAAGCATTTTTCAACAGCTGTCTTCATTGCTTTTATATTTAAATTATTTTATTGAATGGGTGCAGCTATATTACTAAGAGTTTCCGTAATATTTTATATATAGTTTTTGAATTGTCATTGAATATTTTTGAAATAAATAGTAAATCCTAGTATTAAAAAGGGAATAATGTACTCATTGCAAAATTATTTATTATATTCAACATAAATTAAAATGAAATAATTATTATTTACAAATTATAAATAGAAATAAGAATGATAGTAAATTGAAATTAAGAATATTAATTAAATTTACTAATTTATTGTGTCTTTTACCAATTCGAGTTCATAATATTTTATTTTATTTTATGTATCAATTTTGACATTTTATATTAACTTATTTGCTGAAACAAATGTTAAGAGCACCAATAGTAAACTGTTGAAATAATTCAAAAATATTGGTGCATTGCCAAAAAAATATAAAATATTAAGGGTTTAAGGCCTGTGGTTACATAAAAATTGTATATTTTGTTTATTTTTTTTTTAGGTAATAAAAGTCATCAATGCCCAGTAGCCATCTAAGGATGGAAGAAGCTACATCCATCATTGCTTCAAAACCCATAAGTGATAAATTTGTAAGACAAGAAATCGATGACTTGGATGATTTTGTTTTACAAATAGATGAAAACGAAATAAATAATGAAATTAAAGCTAATGGGCTTGTAGAAGGTAAGGATTGCATAAATGTCTTTATTACTTGAAAGAACAATTCTCATAACAAAAAAGTTACTTCTGTTTGGACTGAACCAATGATGGCCATATTGAATTTTATTCATTTGAATTTTTAAACTTTTATTTTTATAATTGAGAAAAAAATTTAAGCAGGCCCAATTAAAGTTGTTTCATGACTGCTTTCATTCCTTAAAATTAGATTATATTGACATATTTGATAGAACAATAGTCAACTCTAATATAGTGAGGAACATTGACTTGGCAACCGAATTGTAATTGGTGTTTTAATATTATTTTTTAGATGTTGCTATTGATGTTGTTAAGCAAATGGAAAATAATGAAGAAAAGATTACCAAGCCTTTAAATACACACTTAGAAACTGAAGTGTCTGAGAAGTGTGGAACGAATATTGAATTAGAAGAAGAGTCTGATAAAAAGTCTTGTGGTCTAGAAGATGAAAATGAGTCTATTGGCACTGCAAAGATTAATGTTTTGTGTGATGAGCAAAATGCTGAAACAGAAAGTAAAAATAATTCTGAGAAAGACCTAAATATTGATAAAAATGTCAATGCAGTGTCAAACAAATCTGATTCTGAAAATGACACAAATAAAACAACTGTTGAACCAAGTAATGACTCTGAAAATAATGGAGTTGAAGAAAATAAAACACCATCAATGGAAAGTTGTGACATAACTGGAGAAAATGAAGAGCTAAATTTGAATGAATCAGTCAAAGCTGACTCACAACAAGTAAAAGATGAAACAAATGAATTTATTGCTGAAAATTTGGAATCAGTTGACAAAGAACTTGATACTCTTCTTAGTATGGAGCCTGATATTTCAAACGACCAGCCTAGTAATATTTCGGAACCAATGGAAGTTGATCCTTCCCCAAATGAACTTCCTGTGGTGAAGATGATCACCATTGAACATTCCCCTTCTGTTGCATTAGAATTACAAAATCATGACGATAAAATGGATTCTGAATCGGATGTAAACGATCACAACTCAGCTCCAGATTCTCCTACTATTACTATGCATTCACCTCAAACTTTAAATGATTTGGATGAAAATTCCAGTAGCGGTGATGGATTCTTAAAAGAAAAGACTGTTAAAGGATTTTCGAACATTTGCCGCTCAGAAGGTGAAACAAATGACACCACAAAGGAAGAATTTATTTACCATAAAGTAAAACATATCCAAATCAGTGCACAATCTAATATCTTGAAGGGTGAGTTTATATAACGATTTTTCAATGCTTCTTTTGCTTTGCCTAAACTTATTTTTCAATGGAATTTGTGGTTATGGTGCATGCTATTTATTAACCTTTTTTTATAAAATATTTTAATATATTTTTTTTCATTGTTGTAATCTGGTTTATTGTCAAGGTAAACATATATTCTGATATTAAACTCTATTATATTTGTATCAGCGCCAAATGATCCAATCAAACCTGAATTTTCTAGACAAAAAATTAATCAAATAAAAATTTACACCTTGCTTCATATCTCAGGGAAGGAAATTAGCACCTTCCTGGTTTTCCCGGAAACTACTGCTGTTATAACCTGCTCTACTTTATCACAGATGACAATTTCTCTCACCTAGTAGTTGTTTTATAAGGTTCAGCTCAAACTGTTTTTTATGAATTTATTTAAGAATGTTTAAGTTGAATCATGTAAAAAATATCATTAGAATTGGTTTAAATTGAAGCCATATTACAAAAATTGGATTTTTCTCAACTTTTTAAAAATGACGTATGTCTTTGATATGCCATTTTTTTTTTTTTTTTTTTTAAACTAACGTTTTCAAATTAAGCTTAAAACATTTGAAACTTACATTGTGTTCTAGTGGGCCTTAATTTATTACTAATTTTTCCCTGTGGTTTCAACCCCATCAATTCGTATTATACTTGATTGTTTTATATACCTATGAGTACATGACCAAGTGCTTCTATTTAACTGATTAATATCCTTAATTTGTGTGGAAAAACTAAAGAACCATGGAGCTTAGATCTTTTAATCCTTTCATTAAAATCTAAATCTTAACTTTGAACTTTTAATCCTTTTATTAAAATGTAAACATGTTTAGTCACATTTAGGCGAAATAAATACAGATAGGAACATGAAATGTTTGCCCTATTGGTGATATTTACATAGTTGAAAATTCCTCCAGACTAGCTTCAATTAATTTGATGACCAACCATTGAATTATAAATAAATAGTTTTTATAAAATTTGTTACAAGGATTGCCAAATATGCAATATCCTCTTTTTGATGATTCACTACTGAAAGCAGGGAGGTTTCATATTGATATGAGATGCCAAAATGTTCGTCATCAAGGAACAAATTTTGTTTCTCTTTAATCAAATCCATGTGATGGACATAAGACTTTACACTAAAATTAATAATATTTTCACAAAAAATTGTAATCATCCCAATCTATATTTCAAAAATGTCTTGTTCTATTTGACCCTACATTGTAGGAAAGATAGGAATTAGCGAAAAAATAATTCAGTACCAATTATATGTTGTTAAATCTCTCTAATTTCACTTAAGGCTGCGTAAACATATTTTCCTTGCTTCATTTATATTTTAAGAACGGCTCGTTGGAATTGGCCCATAGTTGGAAAGTTAGAAAATGTTGACATCCCTTCCGCTTTTATTTCTAAGTTGAAATGGCTGTAACTCTCCTTTCTTTCAGTAAGTGTTTAGATGCCATGCTGTGATGTGATCTTATATTTTCTGTCATGGTGATGCTTGAGGGATTAATTTGTTTTTCATCTTCATTTTAGAGACTTAAAGCATTGTGGTTATATTTTCCCAATTATAATCTAATATTATTTCCATCCATAATTCCGTCTTTTTTATGTGTTGTTTTCTTGTTTCTCTTCCTCATAACATACACTTCTTGTTCTGGTATTCTCTTCATGTTAAAAAAAAATGTTAAATGTGAAAAATGTTAATTACAACGTTTTTCTCCTATTCTCCTTTTTGTGTCCCTTAGTTCATTCATTTTATCCATTTCTAATCCAAACATTAGGTCTTGTAATCGATACTTTACAATAAGGAAATTTGGGTGCATTTAATATTCTTAATTTATATAAATTTGCTTCTAAAACATCTGAAACTAAAGCTAGGGATGGTCATCGATAATTGATATCGAAATATTTATATTTTCCTCCCGATATTCGATATTTTACCATCGATGTTATTGACTATCGATATCATCCCTTCGATACTTTAATATAAAAATTAAAATTAAAGCTAGCATTTTCGGAAAACGCTAGGAATTATATGTGAATTTGATAGAAAAAAACATATATTTCTAATTTATTTATTTTAAACCATTCAATAGCAATGAAACTGCCAACATGTCGGTTGACACATAATAAGTTAAAAATAGACATGACGATTATGATACTGGTTATTATGAGAAGAAACATTTATTTCACATAATAAGTATAATGGACAAGTACATGATAGACTTGGAAATGGATCGACAAGCCAAAACGTCGAAGTAAGATTTTTTAGTGAAAACATTGGTGTAAGTTGGCTTAAAATAAATAAATTAGAAAATAAATATTATACATCGAAATAGAAGAAAAGAATATTGAGAAAAAATATATACTCATCTTGCCGTTTTCATATAAAATGTAGTGCATAGTAGAGGAAAATATTGATATTTCGATAATATATACTATCGATGGTTATCTCTAAATAGAGTTGAATAGCGCACATGGAACCCTTTTCACTCAGTAAACTCAATTGCTCAAATAGAATTGTCAAAGAAATCTATGTAGAATGCAAATAAATTAGCTTTTCTCTAAGTCTGATCTATGGGTGAATGGAAGCCATACTTGGTCAAATGGAAATTTCTGGAAAAAAGCTGGATGAGAATGGACTGAAACTAAAAAATTAATTTTGCTAAGGAATGTAGAAGAATTGATATTTCCATTAATTAACTTAAAGAGGAAAATAACATATCTTTTAATGCGACTAGGATAAGGTGGCTTGACAGAGTGTCTGTGGACCCAGGAGACCTCCAGAACTATACTGGTTCACTGTTCTATCCTGGACCCTGCGTTTTTACCGAATCAAATCACTTCGCCCAAGTGTGCTTTTCTAATTAATTCCTTCACTGCCATGTTTATCATTCGCCGTATTGAATCGTAAGGGTTTGGATGTATCGGCGGAGGCAAATCTGTTCCTCGCTTGGCAAGACTATCAGCCTCAACATTTACCTGAATCCCACAATGGCTGGGGATCCAATGTAGGACCACATTTATGCCTCCCAGTGTCAAGTTAGAGAGGAGGGATTTGCATTCCAATATAGCACTCGATAAACATTCATTCGTGTTTGTAACAGCGAGGATGGCTGCTTGAGAGTCGATGAAGAGAACAGTGCTCCGGTCCCGCCTTCTAAACAATGTTGTTAAGGCCATGAGGATCACCGCTATCTCACCATCGAAATTTGTTCCATCTTAACCCACCGCAGCGCTGATTTGGAATTCTCTTGAGTAAATCCCTGCTCCAGCATTTTTAACGGCTGATTCAGCTGATCCGTCGGTATAGATATGGAGCCAATCTTGAGGAAGTTACTTTTGAGCTTTAGTTTCTAGTGCTAATGCTTTTAGCCTCATATTCATGTATTTCATTCTTATCTACCTTATGAAGGAGTTGCAGTTCTGCATTGGATGCTTGATTGTTAATTGGTAACTGTGGATATATAAATGGTTCCCTTTCTTCGCAGTCAAGCCCTCTTTCTTCAAGTAATGCCATCGCCTTCAGCATGAAGGATTTTTGTGTCTTGAGCCGTTGAGTGGGGATTTTGTAATTTTTCAAAAACTTTGGGTCCATTCTTTTCATTCGCTCGTGAAGGCACATTGCAGCTTGCTCACGCCGTTTCGAGAGGGGTTCTGTGGTCTGCAGCTCCATAGCTACAACAGGGGTTGAGCGCGGTGCACCCAAAATCAAACGTAGAACTTTGTTCTGCTGGCCATCCAATCTTTTCAGGAATACATCTGCTGAAGTAGATGTATAGACGGATAACCTCAGATCTGTATTCCAGGACTGGACATACGCAGGTTTTATATGCAAGGCACATCATATCCTGGGTGGCCCCCCATGTCTTTCCTCCAAGGTGTTTCAGAAGCTTTAGCCTCTTTTCCCCCTTTTCCACCATCTCTTCAATTTGTCTGTACCAGATCATTTTTGTATCTAACCTAACTCCCAGATATTTTCCTGCATAGATTCTTGGCAAGGGAACATTGTTATAGATGATTTTCAGCTTGTACTCTTTGGTTGATAAGGTGAACAGTTGGAACTCAGTTTTCTGCGTATTTACTTTCATTTCATTACACTTGGCCCAGGTAAAAAGTCTCGCCATTGCCTCATTAATTGCTGCTTTGAGTGATGTTATGTAGCTACTAGTCGCATATACTAGTAGATCATTAGCGAACAGTAGAGCAGATATTCCAGGTATTCCATCTAGTATAGCCACTAAGTCATCAATCATTATATTAAAGATTGTGGTGCTCAAAACAGATCCTTGCGGAACTCCGTGAATAAAAGTTGTGAAGCCTCAACATCAGCCATTGTATCTTACTCTGAGAAACTTCTGGGCCAAGAAGGAGGAATGTATGGCTCGGTTTTTTCCACATTTTTCCACTGATGTTCATTTTGAGGATTTTATTCAGAAGTACTTTCTGCCAGACTGTCAAAAGCAGCTTTAAAATCAACATATACTGCAAGAGTATGTTGTTTGCATTGGAATCCATCTTTTACATCCTCACTAAAACGAGCCACCTGCTCAGTTGTACATTGGTGCTTCCGGAAACTTGCTTGCTTTGATGACATATTTTTTTCTCTATCTAAATATATCTGCTACCGGGCTAGGACCATTCTCTCATAGAGCTTAGAGAAAACACTTGTGAGCGATATAGGTCGGTAGTTAGATGGGCAAGAGGAACATTTACCTTTCTTGAGAATTGGGACAACCTCAGCCTTCCTCCAAGCACTAGGATATTGTGACCTCCACACAGTATTGAGAAAATCTAGCACAGTGAGCTTGGCTTTCGCATCCAGATGAATAAGGAACTCTGGTTATATGTCATCAGGGTCCCCGCTTTTTCTTTTCTTTGTTTGTGCCAGAGCAAGTTCAAGCTCTTCGTTACTGAAGTCGTCTTCAAAAAGTTGGGTTTCAGAGAAATTCAGACATAGGATTGGTGGTGTG